GTTAAATCACCATTCAACAGAATCAAGCCACCACCTCACTGCCGTCTATTGGACTGCAGTAAAATACTAATTAGGGATGTTCATTTCGGTTATTTTTCCTAACCGACAACCGACGCTCGTTAACCGATTATTAACTGTTAACCGACAAGATTATTTTAAATTCGAATTTAATTAAATTAGAAAGGATAAGTGTCTGTGACCCGTTAAAAATACTAACATTTGTTTCCCGGGGATTAATGCAAAAAGCACAAAAAGCAGCAAATAACAGAACATGACGATTCACATGGTCATCATATCACATCACGCACTTCTGCGAGCTAGGCTATATATATAATACGAATAAATAGGCCTATACGAGAAACATGTTTTTACTTAAATTATAAATTAAGAAAATGAAAGAAAAACTGTGCAACAAATAGCCTAGTATGCAGAGTTTCAGTTCATTTTTGTGCTGCGCGAAAGGAAACCAGACGGCAGAAAGCGGCATCCTATTTTTCTTTAGGCTTATTTTACAAAAGCACAAAGATTTGTTTTTATTGTGAATGTACACAAATAAAGGCAAACCTTTTACAATTCCGATTATCTTAATGACTAAAAGGAGTAGTTGCTTCAACTGTTAGAAGGAAAAAATTCAAATGATTGCGCCGGCGCCACATGCGCGCACACAGTTAAGCATTGCTACCTTGACAATGCAGCCTGCTCATTATCATAATAAAATACAGTCAGTCAAACATATGGAAAAAAACACACTGCTCAGTTTAAATATGTAGTAAAATCTGTGCTGTTAAGCGTCATCACCGTACCATCGTGAATGATGTTATGCAAACCATTTTGTTTTACGTGGATATTGGAACGCGAGTAAAGTACATAATAAATAAGATTTTGGCATTCAAATACATCGCGAATACGGAAATATTTGATTTTGTCGAATGAGAGACGCAACGTTGGTTTCAGTTTCATTTTAGCCTAAATTAATTTGTTTTGGCTTGTCGTTTAGCTATAGCTTCTTATATTTTTAATTATTGTTCTTTTCTAAATACGGTTAAAATGAACATCCCTAATAGTTTCACAAAGCTAAAGTCAAACCATTATGTTTTTGCTTCAAATTTCGAAATTATACAATCTAATTTAGATTAAAAACTTCTCAAGTTGCATGTATGCAGCATCTTTGTTTGGATCGTGGTTAAAACGCAGTGGTTGCCACTAATTATGAATGCAAAGAGCACAGGCAAAGCCTTAGTTTGTTTAAATGAAGAGATTTCTTTCATTTGTGTTATTTATTTGATTTGCGGTTTGCTTTAAAATTTCAGTGTAGTTTTGTTATTTGACATATTTCAATTTCACAAATAAATGTACAGAATTTTGTCCAAAGAATAATAAAAGGACACCTTTTCATTTATAATTTTTCTTAAATCTCATTTTGTAAAAAAAAAAAAAAAAATCATGAGAAAATTGTATTTTGAAATCAGTATCGTGAACTGTATCGCATTGTGAGTTGAGTGAACTGTTACATCCCTATAAATAAATCATACAGAAAAATGTAAAAAGTAAAAAATAAAATGATAAAATACAAAAAATAAATAAATGCAGTAATAAACAAAACTATAAATAGTCAAAAATAAATAAATTATCTATTTGGGGAAAAATGTTGTTAAATATTGGGGAGGGGGGGGCACAATTATATAAAATATAACAGCCAAAAAAAAAAAAATTACTTTAGAATTACACAATAGCATGTGGATGGCCTAAAAGCTATAAAGACATGGATTAAAGTAAAAAAAAAAAAATTTTTCATAAAAACCCAAATACATTTCTCAAGTCAAATTTAGATTTCTTAGAGTCATAAAGGAGACTCTTGCAAGGCTAATGAAATTGCTGCATTTATCATTGAAAAAACATTGCATTTAAAATGCCCAAATACCATATCCTTACATCAGGCATTCCTCAAAGATTACACTTGAGGTTGTCTAATACACCAAAGCACCTTGGTTTGGAATATCAAAAAGCGTTGCAAAAGTTATGCTAATTAAAGCATCAGATGTGCGCTGAGAGGACTGTGAGGTGGCACACATGCTGAGCTCGGCCCTGCGCGGAACTGATAGGTTGTCAGGGTGCCGGCTGGCAGCATTTGTAATTCTGTTCACGACTAAACCGGTTACAGTCCCAGAGTCCTCTGCAGCGGGTGTGCCGAGCCGAGGCTCGGACTGCGTCATGCTCACAACCCACAGCAGGAGCAGAGACAGAGACAGAGACTCAGAGACAGAGAGAAAGACCACAGGAAAGCACTTTAAACGATCGGCGCAGATGTCACACTATGAAATGCTTTCCAGATTCAGCCAAAAAGCTCCAGGTGACCCACTCTTCCTAAATTAAATAGCATCCAGTGTCGGCAAATGTTATCACATCCCTATCTGCAAGAATGCGCTGAGACATTGTGCAAAATTGCAGGACTACTAAACAAATGCATTAGTGGACAATTTACCCACGTTCAGTCCTAAGCACTAACCCCAAAACAGCATTATTCCACAAATGACCTCTTCAAGGTGAGATTGCAGTCTGTCTGGATCATATCTGACGTCACAGGCTGCAATTCTGTGGCTCGCTGCAGAAGGGGTGGGCGGTGGTTCCGGGGCCGACACCTGTCATCTGCACCATTGTCAATGCGAGTTATAATTAAACCATTCCATAATTTGAACAGTCTATCAGTGCTAAATATAACATCTACCACTATGCACAAAACATACAGCACTGGTTCTACTGCAAAGAGTTAAAGGTTAAAACATTCGGTCAGTTCTTTCATATATCAAATGACCACATCCATCCCAAAAAGATGATCCCATGAAGATGCTTTCACGCTTTAACATCACAGGCTCAGTCTTCAAAAACACTTATTAATGCTAGAAACCAGGGGCCTCAACTATAAAACATGCATATGTTTAGATTTGATCCTAAATCTGAGCATGAAAAAAACTGAGGGTCATAAAGGCAGGACTGCATGACTTTTTTTTTAATAAAACTAAAAATGCGATATGACTTAGTGCTATGATAAATCACGAAGGCTGCATTTTCATTAAATTTGTAATGAGACGCGATTATAAACAGACTTTAAAATCGGCATGAAACAGAAGTTGCGTTTGTCTTTTCTTCTTTGCGACATATGAAAACTTCTCCAATAAGAAAAAAAAAAAATGTAGGGCGGGATTTAATTTGGATTTAATTCCACTGGGAATTGATCGGATGGTTGTTGTTTGCTATTGCTGCAATCTCATGTGAGTGACAGGTTGACCCGCTCTTGCACCGAGACATACGTCATCAGGGAAGAGATGTTGTTGCATGAGGGAGGGAAGGTTTTTTTGATTAAAGATTATGAGAGCACATGAATTTAAAAAAAATGATGTGCACAGATAAATCATTTACAATAAACTGCAGTATCCCATAAAAATAAGAATTGTCAATTCTGATTTCATTGTGACTTTAAGCTTGATGGTTTAATGTTTGGAAATAAAGGAATTAAGACAGCCATAGTCATCAGTACTGTAATTTTACAGTACTGTAAAATTAATTAGTTTTCTTAAATAATCCTTTTTTATTTTAGAGTGAAATATTATAGTAATATTTTTATGTTTAATATTTTTATTTACCACCACCACTACAACTAACATTACTACTATTATTATTAATATTGTTGCTGTTATTATTATTTTATAGTCATATAGCTATATAATTACAACATTTATATTGTCATATATAATCACAAATTATGCAGCCCTACAAACAAGCACAATGAACCTGGAGCTTTTTTTTTTCATTGTTTTTTTTTTTTTAAACATGCATGCTAACTTTTTTCTGATTATTTTGTAATGCGTCACACTTTTGGAGCACGGAGGAATAAGAACTTTGATCAGATAATAATGTGGATTTAAACATAAGCGAAGGAATCTTTAATTAAATTATGATTTTAAAATAATTTGATAACCATAAAGCGAGATGCTTTTAGGAATGTGCATTGCCTGCAGGAACATTTGGAAATTATCATTTTTTTTATATCACATTTAAGATTGTTCTCTACAAGTCTTCATTAATGAAGTTCCAGGTATTAAAAAAAAAAAATTATAAAACAGCAATTCTTCACCTACAACATTAATTATTTGCAAGAGCTCAGAGAAATTTGAAAGCCATCTCCAAATGAATATAAAGCAAAACTATGAGAAGCAAACCAAAAAAGCCAACAATGGATATAGCTATGCTTCTAGGTAGAGCATGAGAACTGACTAACGTGATAAGGACTGACGCACACAGTCCATTGAGAATCAACAGGTGCAACCAAAAATACCTATGCTCCTATAGCGGAGCCGTACGGGGTCCATACAGGGACCGGAGAGCTGAGAGGCTGCAATTAACAACCCATAAGTGCAGTGACCACACTAATAACTGCATTCAGAGAAAAAAAGTGAGTGACGCTGTGATTTCAGTCTTAAATTATATAAAGGCAGCACTTACCAGCAACCTCCACAATGTCTCCAGGCACAATGTCTTTAGCTTTGATCCTCTGGACGGCCTTCCTGTCCTGACGGTACACCTTGCCCATCTCTGGCTCGTACTCCTTAAGGGCTTCAATGGCATTTTCTGCATTACGTTCCTGAGATGGAGAGAAGCAAAAAAAAGTAGATTGGGATGGGACTTTCTGTTAGACAGATGTGAGAAACCTGTTTGATAACAGTCATTATTTTCCCCAATTGTGCAGAAATTACACAATTCCCCTGTAATTAATCAATTCATAACTCTTTTCATGCTCTACTGACCTGCCAAACACCTACGATGGCGTTAGCTATAAGAATCAGTAAGATTACAAAAGGCTCCACGAAGGCAGTGATTGTTTCCTCTCCCTCCTCGAACCAGGCTAATACCTGCAATAAAAAAAAATAAGTCAAGTCACGACACATCCCGTTAGATCTAATCAAGCATTTCACATTCAAAACACCCTGTGGATATTTCAAGACCAGTAGATCCAGATTCTAGACGAGACACACCAGTGACATTTGCCTTCTCACAACGGATTCAACACAGCCCGTTTACAAATGAGATTCTGTTTGGATTGCATAATCTGCATGATTTTAAACAAAAAGTTTAAACAGGAAAAAAACGTGAACAAGCGGCATGACGAAAGCCAAACGCAGCAGTATGTTTTAATGACTGGAAATAAAACTCCTACAGCTCACTGCAGCTACAGCACGGCATCTGTTATTTCCCTCATTTAGACGCATTATTACATATGAACTCCTCCTAAAATAAGAAGCAGCAACATTATTTACTTTCCATCACATCATTAAGCATAGACTTTCTTATCAACTTAGAGAACAGTTTTGCTTTGCACCTTTAAAAATGGAGTTGCATGATTAGACACAAAGTCCTTAGATGCACTGCTTGAAGGTCATATGCAGAGATTGAAGCCCTCCAATCAACATCTGGGTGGAGTTCTCACGAGACAGTGGAGTTACTGGTCTGTCTGTGGTAATGAGAAGCCTGCAACTGAAGGTCAGAGGCCCAATTTGGCCTGCAGAGATGCTCTCTTACACAGCCAACTACGAGACAGCTGTCAAACCACAGACTCCAACACCTCAGTATCTCTCCGCTGGGCGATGCTGGCATACCTCTCTCCTTCCACCCAAACCAGCCAGTTCAATCTCATCAGCTATGTAGATGCATTGAAACTAATGATTTTGGACAGCCAAAGCATAAAGATCCTTACTTTTAAAAAAAAATCTATATTATGAAAAAAATATATGCTCACTGACGCTGATGAGATTAACCCCTTAGGTATCGAAATTTGGTACCGAACGACAAGACGTTTTTCGATACTCGATGGTATCGAGGCAATTCGGTCGGTGCCTAAAAAGTATCGAACTCGATACCCAGCCCTATTTAAGTATCTCTTTCAGCTGATTTCTGGCCTGTGTGTGCCTGTCTTCCACCTTGTCAAAGTCTAATGAAAATGTGTATGGCAAGCCGTTTTAACATTTCTCCCTTAAAACCAAGTAGCATCCATTTTTATGGTTTCAGCACTTACTAATCCAACTGTGAGTAGCATCATAGGCAGAGCATGTGTAAGGCTTGCGAAGGCTTAGCCTTCCCCTGACCATGGGAACTTGGAGCAAAAAGGCCACTAAATTGGACAAAAATGCCCCTGCACAAATGAATTAAATCTATTACGTCTGTTGCTAACAAAGTGAAAATGAATGGAAAGTGTCAATTTCGAAAATTAAGATCTGCTAATGTTGCACTGTTTTTCGTTTTAAGCGTTTTTACAGTGTTGCGCATTATAACCAATCACACACAATTCTGTTGAGCTTAGGAATGCAATGGCCAATCAGAGGCGCTCAGATGAGTCATCGCTGAAACGCAGTTTTATTGAAAAACAATTTATTAGCCTACATGACATCCATATCTGGTTCTTGCATAAAAAGATGGGGTTATGATTAGTGCTGTGTTCAAAATATCGATACGACGATGTATCGTCACAGAGATTTGACGATACGAGGATCGATAAAGCTGGCCCTGTATCGATATTGTGGCACGTGTGCAGCAGTGGACCACGCGTAATTTGTTTAAAATTTTACAACGTTTAAAATTGAGTAGAAAAGTGCGAGGTTTCTAAAAAAGAATGAATAGAGCATATATAGGCTACAAGGAGGTTTGATCTGGCCGCAGAGGAACACAACTGGGTTGCCTGATATAAAGAGACGTAATCCTCAAAACAGAGCTTTACACTTGCGCAATACGGAAATATCTGCTAAGTGTGCTACTTATCTTTGTCAACCTGGCAACCAGGCCCTTCATAATGCAGAGGTCAACTGCCTGCTCTGCCAATAGTTAGAAATGGCACTGTAATAAGCAGTGTTTAATAAACAGCGTTTTTTTTTTTATTCTGCTGAGGTGAAATTCAGTGCAGTCATGTATCGTGATACGTATCGTGGCCTCTGTATCGTGATACGTATCGTGACTTTGCTGGTGATACACAGCCCTAGTTATGATAGTTGTAGTTAATAACAGATTAGGCTGCTTTAAGCCTTACCCTGGAGATGGTTCACCCTCCGCCTATGACAAGCATTTTTCAGTTTCACTAGAAACTAATCATTAGAGTGGTTACTAGTGAAATAGTCACTAATCTGTATTCAGTTAGTCAGTCATACATATTCTTTGGCAGTAAAGACAAGTAACAATTCCATTGTTATTGGGAACAATTTTTAAATTTTTGCCATTCATTTCTATGGGAATCTGTGGTTCCGACTAGTTTGTAGTCCAGATGTTGCTGGAACCTATTCTAGTTTTACTAGTAGCTATTCATTAGGCACTAATACTTTTTTTCTATCCCAGTAGTTGCTTCTACACATATTCAAGCTTTACTAGTACTTATTTATTAGATTGTAGTATCTAATAAATCCCAGTTGTTACTGGCATCATTTCTATAGTTTATATCACTAGCTGCAATTGCTAATTTACTTGTCAATGACTAGTCAGAATGACAACTATTAACTATCTTTACCAATAAACTTAAAAACACAAAGTAACAGCTGAAAATGTGTCTATTAATTTAGGAAAACTGAAAGCAAAATAGCCAAAGTAACCAAAAATAAGTACTAGTACCTGTACAGAAGTGAGAAATATACTAGTCACTACTGGATTGTTTACTAGTAATTTAAATAAGTACTAGAAGCGTAAACCCGATACTAGATTGATTTACAAAAATAAATGTTACACCGGCTTGCCATAAAAACATGTTTGATGACGTCAGCTGTTTCGAACGCTCCAGCCGGCTGATTGCAGCAAATGTAACAATTTCATATCAACTTCAAAGCATCTGTCGAGCGTCGCTGGCCGTGAAGAACACAAAGTATCAGACGTACCGTTGGGACCCCATTTCTCTCTCTGCCGTTTCACCTGGTCTAAAGTCAGTCCCGTGCTCTCGTTGACGCTCAAATAACTATAAACTTCTTCCACGCTCTTGGTGTGAGTGTTCTCCATGGTTAAATGGGAAGAGAATCCCGCTCAAGAAATCTGCCTTGGTCAAAAAAAAAAAAAAATAGACACGAATATGCCTATGAGTGACACATGCATTGACATCCAATGAAGAACATATGTAGAAAGTTGAGACGGACAAATGCACCTTCCAGGAGTCTTATCCAAACACAGGAGTTCTTGTATCTTCTTCTTGTTCCCCAGAGAACTGGGAGTCAGTGGAAGCCAAA